GGACCCCCGTTACACCACGACTACGACGAAGCCACCAAAGGAGTTCCACAGCCGGTCCGAGAACAGCGAAAGACCGATGGAGCCTGCGTGCGATGTGGCCGAAAGGGTCATCTTTGGAAGTGGTGTCGTTCAGATGCTAACAGCAGTGCATCTATCTCCTCTTTCTCCCGAAAGCGTACCCGCGATGACGATGGCGACCACGATATGGAACCACCGGAACCCCAACCTCAGAGAAAGCGAATGAGGCACCGGGCTAAGAAGCCGGCTGCGACGGCTGCTGCGGAGTACACCAGTGGGCAAGCGTTTGTGCGAGAACGCGGATCGGAATCTGAAATGGATTTCGACGAGGATTTTTAAAAGGGGACTCTGATGAGTCAGGTCAGGAGTATCCCCAGATTGCTATGTTATCACTGACGGAAAACAACAAAAAAAATATGAAAAGAAAAAGGCAGGAAGGGAGAGCGTCCCAACCGGAGAAAAAACAGAAAATTTTGGAGGAACCTATTCATGGTCCTCGACCTATCGTTAATCAGTTCCTTTGTTTTGCGGAAAAATGTTTACCTTGTAAGGTGCTGTTGGATACTGGTGCAACTGGTCCTGTTTTGTCTGCTGTTTTTGTTGATAGTTTTGAGGTCCCGAAGGTGAAACGAGACGTCCCGGCCCGGGTATTTGGATTTACGGGAGAAGTTATGAAGGGCACGGGACACGCCTTTACACAACCATTAATTATAATGTCAAGGGGGCATCAAACACAGTTGTCATTCGAGATCGCCCCTCTCCCACTTGGCATCGATGCAATACTACCGAATTGGTGGCTGAAAGAACATAAGCCGGTTATAGGGGCAAATGGGGAAGTTTCCTACGATAGTGAGAACTGCAGGAGTAGATGCTTCACTGATAAGGAACCACAAATAGAGATGGATGAGGGAGTACTGGACGATCCGGAGGCTCAATTCATCGGTAGCATTTGTCTTTTGGAAGATGAATCGGTCAACCTCCGCGAAACTCTTCCCTCTTGGCTCCATGGGTTCCTTAAAGTCTTCCTACCGTCGGAAGCAGATAAGTTACCACCGCATCGATCCTACGACCATGCAATAGACCTTGAACCAGGGAAGCAGCCACCATGGGGACCCGTTTACTCCCTATCCGAAGTCGAACTAAAGGTGCTTCGGGAATACCTGGACAAAATGTTGCGATTGGGAAAGATTAGGCCGAGCAAATCCCCTGCAGGAGCCCCAATCCTATTTGTGAAGAAAAAGGACGGTAGTCTGCGACTTTGCGTTGACTACCGTGGACTTAACCGAGTGTCCATTAAGAATAGGTATCCTCTACCGCTTATGGACGAGCTGCGAGATCGAGTAGCAGGCGCGGTTATCTTCTCGAAGATTGACCTGAAAGAAGGTTACAACCTCATCAGGATCAAAGACGGTGACGAGTGGAAGACAGCCTTTCGTACGCGGTACGGGCATTTTGAGTACCTCGTCATGCCTTTTGGGCTGGCAAATGCGCCGGCGACCTTCCAGAACATGATGAATGATGCGCTGAGGGAATTTTTGGATCAAGGTGTAGTAGTATACCTTGATGATATCCTAATATATAGCAAGTCTCGAGAGGAACACAGGGAGCTGGTCGGCAAAGTTCTTAGTAGGCTACAAGAATACCAACTGGTCGCCAACTCGAAGAAATCGTTCTTCGAACTTACCGAAATTGAGTTCCTCGGATACATCCTTGCCCCAGCAGGCGTCACCATGGCACTGGATAAGGTCATGTCTGTTACGAATTGGCAAGCCCCGCGCAGCGTTAAAGAAGTACAGATCTTCATGGGCTTTGCCAACTTCTACAGAAGGTTTATCCACAATTTCTCCGGGGTCTGTAAACCCATTACCGATTGTCTCAGGGGTGATGCTAAGAACTTTGTCTGGTCTATAACGGCCCAAGCAGCCTTCGAAAAACTCAAAACCCTGTTTACGTCTGCGCCGATCTTGGTACACTTCTCTCCAGATCGCCAGACTATCGTGGAAACGGACGCAAGTGATTTTGCTATCGCCGCAATTTTATCCCAGGTTATTGACGGAAAGACTCACCCTGTTGCCTTTTATTCTCGAAAGCTTAACCCAGCGGAACTCAACTACGACGTCTGGGATAAGGAGATGCTAGGAATTGTGTCGGCCTTCAAGCAATGGCGTCACTACCTCGAAGGACCTAGTCAAACGGTCCTCGTCTACACGGATCATAAGAACTTGGAATATTTTTCAACAACCAAGGTTCTTAACCGACGACAGGCAAGATGGGCTGAGTCTTTGGCGGAATTTGACTTTAAGATTATTTACCGCCCGGGAACCAAAAATGGGAAGGCAGATGCACTATCGCGACGGCCGGAGTACCGTCCTGAAGGGGGAGGCACGCTTGGGAAACAGCCGATAGACAGGTTCTTTAAGCCCGGGCAGTTGGCGGAGGAAGAGTTTGTGGTATCAGCGGTGTCGCTTGCCTCCAAGGGAGTGATCGACTGGTCTAAGAATTTTCTGGATCATGTCAGGCAGGCGGCATCGGGAGACCCGATATGGGTAGGAATGAGAGAGAGAATTGAGCAAGGGGAGAAGCTGGGGGAATTGAAGGATATGGCTGAGAAAGACGGGCTACTCTTCTATAAGAACCGACTCTACATCCCGGCAGACGACCGTATCAAGATCCGAATCGCACAGGCAGAACACGACTCGAAAGTGGCAGGACACTTTGGACAAGACAAGACACTGGAACTCATCACGCGTAACTTCTATTGGCCAAAAATGAACGAGTGGATTGATGACTACGTTCGGTCATGTGACGAGTGCCAGCGCAACAAACCCAGCCGCCATAAAAAATACGGTGCGCTTCTACCACTGTCCACGCCACATTCTGTCTGGCAATCGATATCAATGGACTTCGTCGTACAGTTACCGGAATCAAAGGGATACAATCAAATCTGGGTAGTAGTTGATAGGTTCTCGAAGATGTCGCACTTCATTCCCTTAGTAGCAGAAACGACCGCGCAGGATTTAGCAAAGATATTCCTCGGTCAAATCTGGCGACTCCATGGGCTGCCTCTCGACATAGTTTCCGACAGGGACGCCAAGTTTACTTCAAGTTTTTGGGCATCTCTTATGGAATTGTTGGATGTGAGGATAAGAATGAGTACTGCTTTCCACCCTCAGACCGATGGGCAAACAGAGCGAGTCAACCAAACCCTCGAGCACTACTTACGAGCGTTTTGTAACTACGAGCAAGATGATTGGGCAGAGCTACTCCCGTTGGCGGAGTATGCTTACAACAACTCGGTTACCACCGCCACGGGTCAATCTCCGTTCTATACCAATTACGGTTACAACCCAAGAACCAACTGGCCGACGGAAGCCGAAGTGGTCAACCCAACCAGTGACCTGTACGCTCATTTCATCCGAGGAGTTCATGATTCTGCTCTCGCTCGCTTAACAGACACCAGGGAAAAGATGGGGAAATACTATGATCGGAAAAGGGACGAACCACCTAACTTCAAGGTGGGAGACATGGTTATGCTCAATGCGACCAATATCAAGACACGTCGCTCAACCAAGAAACTCGATCATAAGAAACTCGGCCCGTTCAAAATCATCCGACTAGCCGGAAAACGAGCCTGTGAATTGGAACTGCCACCACAAGTCAAAATTCATAATGTGTTCCATATCGAACTCTTGGAACGGTATCGACAGAGCAGTATCCCAGGCCGAGAACAACGTCCCCCAACTCCCGAAGAGGTCGATAAGGAAGGAGAGGTGCTGTACGAAGTGGAAAGTATCGTGGGGAGCCGGAAGAGCAGAAGAGGATTAGTGGAGTACTTGGTGAAATGGCGGGGCTATTCGATGAGTGACTGTACTTATCAAGTCATGGACGCTATGAACGAGGACGTACTTGATCTAGTCCGTGACTATCATCGAAGGAACCCCAAGGCCGTGAAGGACCAACGCCTGAGACTATAGAGGTACCCCACGGGGCTAAGTCCTTCCCCTCCACAGACACCACGGGTGATATGTGGAGCAGGTTTACTGGAACCATAGTCTGTCAGAAGATGTCCCGAGACGTGACACCCTGGAAGGGGGGTAAGCTGTTACGGGCATGCTAAGCATTTACGGGAGTGAGAGAAAGGCTAGAAGATACCCCAATACCCTTTGATACTAATGGCAACACCACTATCAACTCCGGTTCGCACCCACGAGGTGCGGTGCGATCGATATGCGACCAAATGCGGAGTTGCGGTTTTCCTAGTTAAAAAACACGTTTTCGATCCCAATAATAACCCCCGGAGCGTCAAACCGCCGGAGGGGAGTGTTTTGGTACCGGTGGATATATGAGGGACAGCTGGAATCAATCGGATCGAAGATCGGACCGCTCGGAGCGAATCGGCGCAAGCTGCCAGCCGGCCGAGTACCTATCGGCGGTACCTGTGGGCATGAGAGGACTCTGCTATGTGGGAAAGCGATGTGGGAAGAGGCCTGAGTAGGTAGCCTTGCCGTCCGAGACCTCAGAATAGCCGACGCTGACGATTATCCACCAGACGGCCGATGGAGAAGAAACATCGACAGGGAAACGTGCATTAGAGTGAATAAATAGGTTGAGGGGTTTCAGCGGCTTTAGGAGTTTGGGTTACGGACTTAGGAGTTAAATGTACTTGGTTGTTTTTCAGGGTCTCGGGCATGCCCCGAGTGTATTCTGTATTATTAGTAGACTGGGTCCTCGAGACATAAGCGAGGGATATAAATACTGTGTCATTCACTGACTAGCCAAACCATTATCGGCGAAATCAGAGTCTTAACAATATAAATCGTTGATACGCGAGTTACAACTTTATTTGGTTATACTTTTGAAAATACTTTATTCTATCGTGACTTCGAACTCTACCTGAACTATTACGTCGAAAACGGTCGAACATCACACACTAACTCTAGTGAATCTTTGTTGATAACGTAGCTCGCGGGGCCCGTATCGGATCAAGGAGAATCATACTCGGCGTTGACTGAAGAGACCTTGGAGACTTCTACCTTTGTAGCTGTTAGCCGAACTCTGAGCTCTGCGTAGTGTACTCTTGTGGTCTGGTACGCATCCCTCACAGGAGCGGTGCCAGGCAAGAGTTTGATCTTCAAATCATTATGAGAATGCGGTGGCATTTCCTCAATCTTCTCTTGACTGAACACATCAGCCCAATCCCGGTATAGGTGGTGTATTTTCTCAGCAATATCACCTCCGTCCTCATCATGCCATACTGAACCAACCAATTGATAGACTGTCTCTTCTTCTTCCAACATTTGGTACGGAGAGATCAGTTCAATCTTGGTGGCCGCTGGGAGACAATTCTGCTTGCAGTAGTCACTCCTCCAGCTCATGGTGTTGAGTTCCCAGTTGATGTCCGGGTTATGCTTCCTAGCCCAACTAATTGGCAGGTAACCGGTCATTCCTTCTTCCAGTGTAGCCACCTCCCATCGGAGTGTCTCCTTATGATCTCCCATAGTCATGTGGACCGGGTGAGTGTAATACTCGCCTCCTCCCATCATGACATCTCCTTGAGCATCAAACATTGTCAGAGGTTGATCCCGCCTCACTAAGGGAATTCCATGTTTTCTGACAAAACTCTGGTTGAGGATAGCTCCTGTACAACCGGTGTCAAACAGGAAAGACCCTTGGGCGCCTTCATCCTTTCCTTTGACCGTCCATGACAGTCCTGCCTTCAGTATAGGTCTTTTTCCATGTACTGGTAAAGAAGGAAGCCTCTGTTCCAACTTTCTTTGCTTAACAGCGGATTCTGGACTTGTTTCTCTTTGTCTTTTCAACATAGCTAATAGCTTCGGGCACTACTAAGATCAAAAGATCGTTTGGTTCTATTCCCAAGCGGTAATATAGCGGGTATGATGTGTGGTAATTTTTTTTGGTAGCGGTTTGGAAGTGTCTTGTAGCAAATATAACTTTGGTAGAGCACTGACAGACCAGCTGTTTCGGGTCTTAAACCCATCCTCAGAGTGCTTAGAGCAATCAAATAGGCGGAAACACAATCATAATTTATTCAAGAGAAACATAGAAACCGAAAAACCCATATCACAGAAAACTTAGTAAACATAGACTCAAACAGACACTTTTCTACCAGATGATTTCATTGTCCGAGTCTTGCTCAGGCTGAAAAACAAAATCTTCTGTAACCTCCGGGAGTACAACAAGTGGATCCTCTGCTACTACAGCAGCCACTTTAGCCTTCTTCTGAGAGTTGGACTTGCCATTCCCTCTTTTCCGCTTTTGTACTCTCACTGCTGCCACTCGGACAACAGTAGGTTCCCTAGACCAACAATCGGTCCATTTGTGTCTGGACTTGCCGCACTATTGCACAAGTCAGTCTATGCACTCTACCAATAGGGAGTACCGGAAGGTCATACCTTCAAGCATACTTCTGCTTTCCTTCTTTCTTCTAGAATATCCCCCGGGATACCCTTCAGTTCCACCGCTTTATCCTTAGGTCCGGGAGTCTTCTGAGGGCCGGAGGAGCTCACAGCTTCTCTTTTCCTCTTAGGCTGCTGGTCCTTCTGAGCGGGAGGATCTTTCTTGGTCCGAGGGTGCGCTTTCTCAGCTGCCATCCCTTGGTACCTCTCATGGGTGTGCCCTAACTCTCTTAGAGCAGCTATCCGCTCCATCAAGGACTTTGGCTTGGGATTAAAAAGAGCCCAACTCATGCCTAGGTCTGGGAGGAGGGAATTATGAATCTTATCATCCACCAACTGACCCTCATAGCCAGTCTTCCACATCAGCTGAATGATAGTATTCAGGAAGAGGTCTATTCCTCCTCGAGCTGTGTGGGTGAGGGTATTCCATTGGGCTACAGCATCATCTCTAGAGATGGCTTCACCGAAGGCAGCTCTAAAAGCATCCACAAAGGAATCCCAGCGCTTCCATCTCTGATCCAACTGCACCGGCATTCCAGCAAGACGGTTGGCAGAGGCTTGATCAATTGAATTGTGGTATGCCTCATACCATCGGATTGCTGCCTCGCCTTCCATCAGATTGCCTGCATATCGGATCTTAACCTCCTCAGAGGTAAAGGACAGGCTCTCAATGGAGAACACATTCTCACATTGCCGGATAAAGGTTTCCACTTGCTCCGCCTTGCCCTGAAACTTAGAGGGTGGTGGTGCCTTTGGTTCTCGAGCTCTGGTGGAAGTAGAAGGGTGGGAGGTGGTCGGAGGTTGATACTGCTGGGACATCATTGCCAACAGATTCTTCTGTTGCTTCTCCAACTTCTTCTTAAGGTATCTCCGCCAATCTCTTCTGTTACCACCTTCTGGTTCCGAGTCTGAGCTGTCAGAACTATCCGGATCTCCTGGAGCGGGAGCGCGGGCTGCTGGAGGTGGAGGGTTCTGATTTCCGCCACTTCCTCCCTGTGCCTGAGCTGGAGGGGGAGCGGCGGCCGCAGCAGGAGGGGCCACAGGTGCTACTGGTGCTGGGTTGCTGGCCAGTGGTGAGGTTGCTGCTGGTTGAGCAGCCCCAGACATGGTAAACCTTCCTGGGTTCCTGGCTAGCGGACTAGGAGGTCCTCGGCCTGCACCTGAGAAGAACTCTCCTTCATAGTCAAAGGATCGGTCGGCTCCTCCAAGGAGTGGATGTGTTCCACCGAAGCGGCTAGGTGGTAAGGGTGAAGCCCCCACCGCTGGCTGCACAATAGGGATAATTCTCCTAGTGGATCGGACCGGAAATGCTGCAAAGGGGCTGGTCTTCCGCTGCATTGTCCTGGTAGCTGCTCTGGAAGAGGACCTGGAGACTGAAAGTGGTGCCGGAGTTGCTGGTCTACCCACCACCAACCTTCCTTCATCAAGAGCTCTCTGTATCTCGGCAACAAAGTCTGGTGGAGTGGCCGGATTTGTCCACTCAATCTCCATGGCATCAACATCGGCATTCAGTTCATCTCTTTCTGCATACTTCCGGAGCTCTTCCTGAACAGAGTTGACTTCCGACCTCATGTACTCTAGAGCTTCTGCCATCAGAGCATTCTGTGCTGCCTGGCGCTCTTGTACAATGAGCAGTGCCTGACTGCCTCGGTTCAACTGACTCTGCAGGCTGTGCTGGAGGTAGGTCTGAAGCTCTGTGAAGAACTTTTGTAAGGAAACCTCATCGGTATCCTGCCAGGCAGGCTCACAGCCGGGAATATAGGCCTGTAGAGCGGTCCTGGGTTTCTTAACAAGCTGTGTCTGCCCGGTGGCATCAAGCTGGAGGGGCACCGGCTGCCATTCAATCTGAAGGGGTGCATCTGGAGCCGAGAGGGCGGACATTTTGTATAGAGGAAGAATAATCTGAAGGTGACTTGAGCCTTAAAGATTATCTGTAACGGGGGTCCTTTCTAAGAGAAATAGATTTGTATAGAATAGAGACGGCCGTGCAAGATAGACAATCAGGTTGCAGATTATTCAAAGATACTATCGCTAGAACTCAATAATCTTTAAGGGCTCTGCTACCGATTCGAACTTCGTTCTTTTGTTTGATGAAGACTGGAGAAAACAGGACTGAAGGGCGGGAATGAACCTGAGTACTTATACTCCGAAGGCTTCTATTCTCTGCTCCTAACTCCTTACTAAGTTCCGGTGGGCCTTCCCTCAGTACCGGAAACAATACCACCACTACCCCGCTTTCCTCTAAGCGTCAGCAGGTGTTTCCGATACCCAAGGCAACCACCCTTAGTCAAAGCCTTTGTAACACCTGCAGCCTTGGTTGCCACACAACCGAGGACCTGCATGAATGAGCTGCCGCTCAGGTGTAAGCTTAATCATTGCTGTAGAGCTTTCGCTTATTGTAGACTTCCCTAGCATAGTCCCTGCCCTTCGGCGGACTTACAATGCTCAGAGGATCTAGAGAATCACCGGGCAATCAGAGCTTCACTCTGGCCGGTCTTCTAGTCACTGGCGAGGCATAGACTCGTCAGTCATTGCTCCCATGAATAGATCCTCTTCCTAGCGCCCGGAATGTAGTTACTCTGACAGCTGGTGGCTAACCACACTGCCGGTACTTGCATATCACCGTGCAACTGGCTTCTAACAATAACTCTCAGCATGTAACCGGGCCCTGTGTGTACTCATACACCAGACAGTTGAAATGGCTCCGTTACACATCTGCTGGATAATCGTCAGCGTTGGCTACTCGTAGGTATCAGACAGTAAGGGTACCTACTCAGGCTTCTTCCCACATCGCTTTCCCACATAGCAGAGTCCTCTCATGCCCACAGGTACCGCCGACAGGTACCCAGTCAGCTGGTAGCTTGCGCCGATTCGCTCCGAGTGATCCGATCTTCGATCCGATTGCTTCCAGCTGTCCCTCATATATCCACCGGTCCAAAAGCACTCCCCTCCGGTGGTTTGATGCTCTGAGGGTTATTATTGGGGTCGAAAACATGTTTTTTAACTAGGAAAACCGCAACTCCGCATTTGGTCGCATATTAATCGCACCGCACCTCGTGGGTGCGAACCGGAGTTGATAGTGGTGTTGTCATTAGTATCAGAGGGTATTGGGGTATCTACTAGCCTTTCTCTCACTTCCGTAAATGCTTGGCATGCTCGTAACACTGGAGGGGCACCGGCTGCCATTCAATCTGAAGGGGTGCATTCGGAGCCGGGAGGGTGGACATTTTGTGTAGAGGAAGAATAATCTGAAGGTGACTTGAGCTTTAAAGATTATCTGTAGTTCTAGCGCTAGTATCTTTGAATAATCTGCAACCTGATTGTCTATCTTGCACGGCCGTCTCTATTCTATCTTATTCTCTTTTCTCTCAGAAGAGACCCCCGTTACAAACTCATAGAAAGAAAACCCAAACACTACCAAAATCCCAAAAGAGAAACAACAAACGAACTCCCGATTACTAATCACTCTCCTTCCCGAACTTCTTCCTTATTCGCACTGCGCCGTTACAAGAAGGAGACTATTCCCAGAGGGAAGAAGGAGGGAGAGGAAGGACTGGCGTTGGCAATGAAGCCTAAGCAAAGTCTTGAGAGGAGGTGTGACCCCGCTCTTTGTCAAGTCTTGGCGGAGTTGAAGAAGGGTGTTGAAGGAACAAGAAGGGATGTCCTCCCCCGTCCCTGTTGAATTCACACTTTTATACTCAGAAAAATTGGTCTAGCGTCAAAGGGTTAAGTGTCCCGTTGCAATTCGGCCTATGGTTTAAGGGATCAGCACAATTCCATTGTGAGCTCAATTGATTGGTGCTTCTAGGGGTTACCAAAGTGGTACACCCAAAAAACTATAATTGCATGGTCACAGGTAGTGAAAAGGCCTAACACCTAATTTCAAATATCCGAAAGCGTTTTGTCTTGAAAATTTCAACATATTATGGAAGCAACGGTGCATATGGAAATGATGCGGGTTTGGGTGCACATAAACAGTGCAAGAATCATAGATTAGTCACCTCAAACGTTACTCGAGATGCTGGCGCTCCTTAGTAGTGTGGTCCACGAGTCGGACTGGCTCGAGCCAATACAAGCCCAACTCTTCGCGACACAGGCCGGGTCGAGCCCATATCCCCGCTCAGCTTGAGCCGACTTGTGAAATAATCCTTTCATTCTGGTATTTACGGGAAGTTTCTTGCGTCCATTGGAAAGTACTACAATTCAACTCGAAGTTGCAGAGTTCCCATATCTCATTTTATACCCACGAACGCTCCATTATTTTAGGACAACTATCTATATAAAGGCAGTCTTGTGCCTACCTCAACTGTCAGCAACAATGTACTCGTCTACCAAGACTGATTCCTTTGACTCGAGCCAGGCTCAAGCCCTCGAGCTTTTAACTAGCAAGCCGAGCCCAAGCACTGATATCACAAGATGACTCGTAGGCTGCGCTACTCATTAGATCTCATTGTAAAATTTACTATATTGTGCATATTAAGAACGAAAGGTTTTTGTATCGTCAACGTCTTATTCGAGACTTGTAGCATAGAATATCACTCGCCACGCCAAGAGCTCCTCGCCAAGAACCTAACACATATCATACACCTAACCCTAGATTATTTTAGTATCCTAAAGGACACCTGCGGTGGACCTATCCCCCCCCATCGATTCTCGCGCCATACTTTCCCTTGATACTGTTTTCCAAATCTCTGTGGAAACGGCCTCATGCAGTAGTGTTCACTCCGTTGCAGAACCTCTCTAATAATTGTCACAAACTCCATATGCATGTCGAGTGATAATCTGTGACTTCCATTCTTTCTTTTTTTTTTTTTAACTCATTAATATTTCCATTCTTTCTGATTCAGTGATTGATTGATTGATTACTTCATTACTTGTTTGCAACCTTCTGGTTCAGTAAAATCTAGGGGCTGGAAATATAATACTAGCAAAGCCTGTACTGGCAGCTGTACAATTATTCAAGATTACTATATGATCCAACCCTCCTTCGGTGTCTCTTGATTATGGAGTTTTTACTCTTCCAGCCTTTAGTTCTAATACATACAATTCTAATTAACGAGACCAGAATAGGAAGTTGCAGCTGATGTCGATACCACAACACCTAAACATGAGTTGTATGTTGCTGTTAATTTCCTCTGAAATTCGCGTTTCCCAACTACCGGAGTTCCATGCACAAAATCGTTGTACAGTAGTATGTATGGGGCACTTTCATCGGCGGTGCTGAGGACCTTTGCCCTAATACTGTATAGCATCAGATTCAGGAATGATATAAATCAGGTTCGAAGTATTTTGATCAGGCGTTAGATCAAACTATTGTTAACAGCCTTCGTTGTAAATGATCTCCACTTGTAAGTTGGGTTCAAAGGCGATATATGGGTTTCATTATTTCACTCGAGTCCTCGTGAACCATTTAACCTGTGGTATCCATTGACAGCTTACTATAAGCCAGAAAGACCTCCATGATTAAATTTGCTTAAAGCACGACGTGAAAAGGAATAGATCAACTACAGAAGGACGTAACGCATCTAATCCGTATAGACAACTGGAAGAAAGTCCGAATTTTCAATTTCCCACTTTTGACCTTTCAGCCCTCCAAAAAACGCTTTACACTTCCACCGATATTTTTAATATCCAGCAGGAAACTGTCATGTCCAAACAGACTAACATCCTCTCCCAGTTCGACATGTGTTACCCTCCGGTTCCCCGCTTTCTTCAAAGCCTCCGCTACCTCTCGTTGTTGCCAAGCAGGAAATAGGATATCACTCGTAACACCTAGAACGAGGGTCGGAATGTTTCTCATCGGTGCCAGCCCGGCAACAAGATCAGGAGGTATGGATCCATCATCGGTAGTCGTTGAAGCATCAATGTGTTCTCTTGGTTGTTCCGTATAAGGCTGCGAAGGAAGTGTCAGGGAGCATTGGCTCGCACTCTGTTCGCTTAATTCTTCGACGTGGTTTGGAGATAGTTTATGTTTATTTTGTTCCCTCTGCTTTCGAATTACCTCTTGGTATTCTGCGCCGAGGTCAAACAGATCCATTGCTTTCGAAACATATAATAAACTATTTGCATCATATTCCAAACAGAACTTTTCGCCGGCATGATCGAGATATGTTTCAATAAGAAAATCTGGGCATAATGCAGGCGGGCGTGAGGGATCTGTTCTCTGTCTTCCGAAGCGTTGCTCCCATTCTGGTCCGGATCTGTATGTTACAGTTGCGATCTGGCGGGCAAGCTTAAGACCTAAATGTGGCGGGACCTTGCCATAGTAGAATCCTCGATTCCAGTTCGGATCGGCCATTAAGACTTTCTCTCTCGTTAGTTATGGCTGATGACCACACTAATTTCTCTTTGCACAAGAATTGCAACCCTACCTTGCCTTTGAGCATGCCGCATGGCAATACTGTAAGGATGACTTCTAGCACAACCACTGATGCTTGCGATCTTTCCAACTCTCTCAGGAAATAGCACTCCAGCCGCCAAACTTTGCATTCCTCCCATACTAGCGCCAACACTAGCATAGAGCTTTTCCACCCCAAGATGATCCAGAAGTCTAAACTGGGCGCTGACCATATCTCCCATAGTCATTATCGGGAATCTAGTCGCATATCTTTCGCCATCCGCGGGATCGATACTCGATGGCCCGGTAGACCCATAGCATCCGCCCAAGACATTGGTACATATAACGAAGAAACGATCTGTATCTAGAGCACAGCCCGGTCCTATAAACTTTTCCCACCATCCAAATCTTGGATTATCCGGGTTCGATTTTGCATGAGAAGACGCAGAGAGCCCTGTATGTAACAGTATGACATTCGATCTATCGACATTAAGCTCACCCCAGGTTTCATAGGCAATGGTGAACTCTTGAAGGATGCCACCGTAATCTAACAGCATCGGAGTTTTCGAGGTGAAAGTTTTGTGAGCGCCAGTTGTGTAAGAAGGCTCGGGGCCATTCACCATGGAGCGCGATTCGATTTCCTTCGTTCGCATCTCTATGGCATCAAGGCACGGGAATGCCATCTGTGGGTTGGAGGCCCCCGATAAATGCGGTGCAGATGTGATAAAACCCCGAACCGACGAAGACGACACATACTGGCTGCGCCTTAATCTTGAGGCCAAGAAGGGCGATGCAGTGATAGTTGGACCGGATAGAGCTTTATACTGCCGAGAACGAGAATGATATAGAACCCTTAGCAACTGTCGGTTGATGTTGCTGGACATTTCGCCACTATTTCAAACTTCTCGATCTTATCGTCCTATGCTGGCTTCGACGGGCTATACGGAGGGACTACTGGCTAGGTATTTGCACTTTCTGGTGGAGTTAGGACAGCGACGATGTTCAAAGATGGCTCTCACGAGTATGATAATATGCACCTTTGTGGGGCAGCAAATATTTTGCATATGGGCCTCGATCTAAAACCCAACCCTGAATGACGCGATCTGTCCCTGCACAGTGACATGGTTCCTGCTAGACACTTCCGAAACAATCTGCCAGTGTTTTGAGGTATGCTTAAGCTATGATATAAATGTTCAACAAAACGCTCGAGTACTTAGCGCTCTGTATTTACTAGAGCATATACTATTCGAAAAACCATGTTTACGAAGTACTAAGTTTCTATTAGATATCCAGAATCGATCTGCCATGAAACGTTATGCCGGTCTGGTGTGATTTGTCAGCCAGAAATACTAAGTGATCCTAAATCCATAGAAGTCTTGGTTTTCGAGCTTTATAATATAAACTGCATCACAGGCGCATCAGAGTATGTACATAATGTACCTACATGCGTGTAGAGCGGTACTGTAGCTTCCATCAAACACCTGGCAAACGTACTTAATAGCGCCTTCAATCAAAATCCCTACGTATACTACCACGCAGGAAGCACCAGTTGTACCTACATATATAGGTACAAGAACCTCGAATCACATGGGCATATAGGTCCTCCTCCAAACACGTGATCTTCAACTACTTAATGAGACTAACTTGCGTGCAGAATACAGCACTACTCGCAATTTCACAGCGTTTCCGGATGCAACTGCTATTGCATACACAGAAAAAAACCCGCCAAGGCTATCTTTTGTATGGCATGCAATAGTGGTCGCGTCCGGAAACGTCAAAAAAAATACGTAGGTCTACTCGTATTTCTCTGACGTTTGTGGACGCGACTGATATTGCATGCCATACAAAAATACGCCAAGCTCATAATTTTGTGTGTATGCAATAATGGCCCAGTTCAAAAACGTCAGCGAAATACTAGTATATACCTACATGTATCATGTCAGTACATAGTGTTGGGTATTTGTATTGTTGGGTGACAAAAGTTCTCGTGATTCTATACGAGGACGGGCCATGAAACGACTTTAACTCCACAACCACAAAAGATATAAAGAAGATTCATACGATCAGAGAGCCGAAGATTGAATCCCGATTGCTGACTTTGTGGGTTGGTCGTTTAGGTAATTTCTGCTGGTTGCGAAAATCACGAGAACTTTTGTCACCCCACAATAGGTAAGACAGGTACTCCCCGCTATGCTTCGATATACAGTAACAGTAACAGTAACAGTACATGTATGTAAAATAGGCATCTAATCCAATTGTTTGATAGGCTTTCGATCTGGCAGCGGCAGCCCCTGGTTTCAATCCCAGACGCTTGGTTAAATCAAAATAACCCGGGGCGGGTATCGGTCCTTCCTGTTCAACATCAACCAGGCACACTACGACATCTAGCGATCGACCAAATTAACGGGCTTCTGTTGTTTCGTTTTGAAGCTGGAATGGCAACGATAAGGAAGGATACAAGGAGGGCGACAGGAATAAGATTTACTAGCTGTATGAATGATGGAATAGGGAATAGGATACCGCACCTAATTCATAGAATAGGTGATTCCCCGTGCAAGAGTACATACATGTGTGTAATAGGCCACGCAAGCCATCGACAAGTCGCTGGCGGGAACGGAACGGCATCGGAGCATGAGAAGAAAGTTCCATGCAGCCTTCCTGCACATTTACGACTTACCAGTGCCCTCCTAGACACCTACATGTAGGTACATAAGAGTACCCCGAACCCCCACCATTCAAACGCCGGTTCACCTACTATCTTCTTCTCATTATCCCATCCGGCTTCGCCTCCTCCACAGTTTCCCAGATCTTGGTTACTATATCGCCCAGGAAATCAAAATCAACAAAAACTCTTAGCGACCGCTGCAAGCGACCAGTTGTGCCACCAGTGCCTGGAAACGTAAATACATGTAGCTTAGACAACCCACCGTTACAGCCAGTTACCTTACTCTACCGCGCTCTCAAAGGCTTCTTCCGACCTGCAGCAGTTGCTTCCATCGCTCTTGTCAGCCGCGGAATAACCTCACTCTTTCGCTCGTTTTCGATTCATTAAACACTTTGCCTGTTTGCGTGCTTGTCTCTCCCGCTTGTCATTCTTTTTAACGTCTTACAGCCTCACCCCCTTCAGCCCTCACCCACCCCCTCGCCCTGGCTGGTCCCTCTCAATTCTTTATATAATAACTTGAAATAATTATCATACCTTATATAAATACTCGATACACTTTTCCATCTCATACACTTTCTTCTACGCCCCCTTTGCTCTGCACTCCTACTTAAGATCATACGCGCCTGGAATCACCAGGTTCCTGTTCAATATATCCTCATCCAACTATTTCCCTTTGTCTGCTCTCGTAGCCTGCCTGCCGTGATCCAATATCACCAGCAGTCATGATGAGTTTCAAGAGAGCCTTATTACTCTCGGCCTTGTTGCTTTTTTGTATATTCTTCTTGTATCCACGATCACACTCACCCTCACCATTTGAAGCCGAGCCTTCGCCAGCTTCACTGAAGGAGCATGGCACCCCCGGAGAGAAAACACCCACCAATCAACCGCCCGCCCACAATTCCAAGCCTATCTCCGAAGCTCTTACAGACCGCCCGCGAAAGGTTTCATCGGGAGCTGATACACCCACAAAACAACAACAAACCTCCATATCCAACTTGGCGAACCTTCCCTTGAAGGAGCAACTTGCCCATCAATTTCCATACCATGTGCAGTCAAAATTCCCTGCTTACATTTGGCAAACGTGGAAATATACACCAGCCAGTGCGGAGTTCAAAGAAGAGTTTCGTATCACCGAAGCCAGCTGGACCGAGAAGCACCCGGACTTCGTACATGAGGTACCGCTCAACACATTATTCACACTGATCGTTACTAATTTACTCTCTAGGTCATTACAGATCAGGTTGCGAATCATTTAATAAGACATCTTTATTCGGGCGTTCCCGATGTCTTGGATGCCTATGATGCTCTACCGTTGCCGATTCTCAAAGCCGATTTTTTTCGATATCTCATCTTGCTCGCCCGGGGCGGAATATACGCTGATATAGATACACTTGCCTTGAAACCAGCTACAGAGTGGCTTTCAGACAACTTTAAGCTCAGCGATGTCGGGATGGTCGTTGGAATTGAGGCAGATCCTGATCGTGAAGACTGGAGCCAATGGTACTCAAGGAGAATACAGTTCTGTCAATGGACGATTCAATCGAAACCAGGCCACCCTGTCCTACGTGAAATTGTTGCCAACATCACGATGGAGACTTTAGACCGAAAAAAGGCCAAGAAGCTTTCGATAGATCACGATAATGTCGTGGAGTGGACAGGCCCAGCAGTTTGGACTGATGCAGTATTCGAGTACTTCAACGATGAGACTTTCTTCGACATGAGCGCCTCTATAGGTGGTATCTCCTGGAAAAATTTTACCGGAATGAAAGAACCCAAAAAAGTTGGAGATGTGGTGGTTTTGCCTATAACCAGCTTTTCTCCCGGGGTTGGTCAAATGGGTGCCGGAGAGATTGATGATCCAATGGCCTTTGTTCACCACAATTTTGAAGGTTCGTCGGGCACCCCTTTTTCCGTAAACGATTGTAGTATTAACAAACTTCCGTACCACAGGATCATGGAAGCCAGAATCAGAACGCATAAATCCTCCCAGTAAATGATGGGTTGTTACTTTATGACCCAGTTGCATAAATATAGACATTTACGACTTTACGAAGTTAGAAGGGCAGAAACAAAAAAGCGACAAAAGGCAGAAGGGTTTTTCTTTCCTTTTTTTACTCTTTCAGCGCTTATAGAATGGTGGACGGAGCCGGTGGTGTCATTTTGTATTTTGATGTATTTTGGTAGTCCATTTCTTTTCTTTTTCCTTTTCGTTATCAATCAGAGTCGTGTTAAAATCTGATGCAAGACTTCCTGGCGAAGTGCAGGAGTATTTTGCATACAGCATATTATGAAGAAGCCGTAAGTAAAACTCTTTTTTTTTGGATGGTGGGCTAGGGTTAGGGCGCAACAGAGTAAATAATTCACACTATTATATCATTCAAACGATATAATCGATTCCTCACTGTCTAAATCTCCGTATCCTAACTATGATCTATCTAGCACAAAACAATGGTGTGTTGCCAGTACAAACCCCTTGGCCGCAATCTTTTGTATACATGTAATTGAATTTATAGCTAAAGGAACATTGTACACCAAAGTCTAGATTCCGACTTTACTTTGATACATGTAGGTGTTTTTTGGATGCAATTAGGTCCTTTTCCTATCTAAGGGTGTAGACGGCATCATGTCCATATTTCCGAAGGAATGTAAGATGTACCTGAGGCTAACAGGGCCTTTCATGGTAAAATGTTTGAAACACTCGAAATCACGCCATTCTTATGCTCATCTGTTCGAGAACATTTAGTGCAAAGGCAATATGAACCAATCACACCCAGCAGCTTTGGGTCATCCTATGAGCCATGTCCTATGTACCTTTTACTCTGGACGGTAGATACATGTATACATGTATGCCAGTTACATGTACTTTTAAGTTGAAATGGGGGCCGGGAAGGATTGATCGAGAGATGGAACCCTAAATCGAGATGGGTAATAAAGCTTGAGAATAAAGTGCAAACAAACGCCCCCAGAAGGTTGAAGAGGCCAAGCCCAGCCACGGAGAATCCCCATTACTCTGATATTCACACAAGGCCGCGCGAGTCAACTTCAGGTGTCTGTATAGAGCTTTAATCTAGGCAGGGTGTAGTCCTCATCTTTACTCGACCTTGCTTATATTGTTTACACCATGAATTAACGGTTCAAAAGCCACCGCTATTTGGTCAATAGTTATAGAAAGAAAGAA